GATTGTGAGCACGGGGAAAGACACATTGGGAGCGTGGGCCGTGAGCAACGAGACAAGCAGAGGGGTGCCACATCACATTACACAAAGGGACACAGGAGCAAAATTTTATAGAGAGGGACACAGAGAACAACAAAATGAATGCCACTGCCAGAGGCCAGAGCACCAGAGCCAAAGGGCAACCAGCAGAGCGGAAGTCATGAGCCTGCTTAATGCACACACACACACACACACACACGCGCGCGCGCGCGCGCGCGCGCGCGCGCGCACTCGCGCACACACACATGCACCCTCCACGACTTTGAGAGAGCCTTCCTACCCGAGAGCCAGAGATAAGGACGTCTGGATGCAGGATGAGCATGCCGTTGTTAACATCCACAATCACCACCCTCTCCTCCTCTTCTTCCTCTGCTGCTGCCCCTGCTGCTGCTGCCCCTGCTGCCTGGTCTTTTGTTTGGGATTGCCCGCCGATCAGCGCTACAGTGTCACCGGCTGACACAGGTACGTCCAGCCTGCCAGCCAGGGGAGAATGGCGGAAGGTGATACGGATAAGCGCAAAATAAAGGACAGAGCTGGTGCTGACGTATATGCTTCTAAGGCCAGGTGGACGGGAATAAGAGGAGAGGAGAGAGAGGGGGGAGGAGAGAGGAGTGGGGAGAGAGGAGAGAGGAGAGGAGAGAAGAGAGAGGAGAGGACAAGTGATAGGAAAACGGAGAGAGGAGAGGCATACCAGTCGTCCCGGAGCAGAACTTGCAGGGGACGTTGGGGTTGGGCACGCATGCGAACACGCAGCACCTGAGACGGATGGAGAGAAGGGGGTTTTGAACGTGAATGGCATTGAGAATCGTGTCTGCTTGACGTTCACGGAGTGGATAAAGGCAGGTGCTTCAAACAGTTGCTCCGTAGCAGAGGCCATGACCTTTGCGGAGTGCATACCTGTAACCACAGGTGCCTTCTTCTGTGCGAATAAGAGAAGCCAAGGAGAGAGAAGGCAGGCACTGGGTGCAGGAACGGACAAGGAGAGGAGGTAGGAGGGAGCAGGAAGCTCGAAAGAGGGAGAGGCGCACAGTTGCTGTACCTATGGAAACACGTAAGAGAAACTACAGTTTTGCGCTGCTGTACCTTTTGATGCTGCACTGTTGCGATGCCACGCGCGTTGACAGCACTAAACGTCGCCTCCCATGCCTGCAGTACGGATGCATGGTGGGATGGATGGTTGGATAGATGGATACACATGGAAGGGGGGATGTCTATGAATGGGAGCGCATGCTGTACAGCAAAAAGCATGTTCATTCATGGCTTCTGACCTGCCCCATTCACCCCTTTTTCCTTTTCCCCAAGGGACAACACACCATGCTCATACAGTCATACCTCCAGAACTAGGGCATGCTCCATCGTAGCAGCCGTGCACTTGAGCTGCTTCTCCTCCTCCCCTTCCCTCTTCACCTCCCTCCGTTCCCACTCCTCCTCCTCTTCCGCCTCCTCGCGCCCCTCCTCACGTGCAGCAGCACCTTGTGCTTGCTCGCGTGCTCGCGTGCTGCCTCCTTGTAGTTGTTGCTCTTCTTCCACCGCCATAGCATTTATTTCAGATAGAAACTCTTCCATCTCCTGCTGCTGCTGCTGCTGGAGCTGCTGCTGTTGATGAAGATGCTGCCGCCTCTGCTGTTCCTCGTACTGCTGCTGCTTCTGCTGCTGCTGCTCCTCCTCCTCATGCTGTCTTTGTTGCTGCTGCTCCTCATTCTGCCGCAACTGCTGCTGTTCCGCATTTACCCTCATGCCCTCTCCACCCATTCCTTCGCCACAACCCTTTAAAAGGCTGTCACAACCTTCCACACCAATGCCCTCCTCCTTCACAGCCGACCCGTGACCCTCTTTCCCACTCCTCTCCCCACTGTTCTTCTCCAAAACCACTTCTTCCACGCCCTGTACCTCATCCGCTTCCACTTCTTCCCCAGCGATACTCTTTTCATGCATCCCTCTCCCATATCCATCCCATCCATCCCACCTATCTCTAGCGAATCTTCCTCCTCTTCCACCCCTCCACCAACCATCCCCATAGCCCATGCGCAAGCCTCCGCCTCAGGGCCTATCACGCCAAGCCCCTGCATTTGCTGCCCTTCTTGATCCTTGGAAACGCCCAGAGAGGTCTGGTGTGGCTGGGAGGCTTTAAATGGAGCTGGTTCAGCAGCAGCAGCAGCAACAGAAGCGCCAGTAGCAGCACCAGCACCAGCAGCACCAGCAGCAGCAGCAGTAGGAGCAGCAGGCAGTGCAACATCGTGGTTGGGAGACAGCACGTGAAGAGCCTGTCTTGCATCCACTGCCCCACAATCTTTACCCTTACCAGTAGTGCATGTCTTGGCAAGGGGAGTCACTGCTGTGGAGGTTTTCACCGTGCCTTTCACGATAGTGGCTTCAAGCTCGTCCAGGATCTTCAGCACCCCCTGTAGTGTAGTGGACGATACAGCATAATTTGGTGTTCCCTCTCACACACACATGCCCACATGCGCGCACGCGCACACACACACACGCACAAACGCATGCACAGACAGGGAGCGGCATGAACAAGCACAACCATAGGCCAAAAAGTGCAGGCCAAGGTGAACTCTGGGGTGCCCCAAGAACAATAACCACCAACCACCCACGACCCCACAATCTACGCTTTCTCACCTTGTGACGCTTCGCGCTCATTCTTCGATTGCGACCAGCGAGGGGCTTTTCCGCCGCAGCAGCAGCAGGGGCAATAGTCACGCCAAGCGCAGCACCAGCAAGTCCCTTAGGCTCATCACCGATCACCTTCTCCTTGCCATCAATCGCGTCACTGAGACTGTGACTGCGTCTGTTGTGACTGTAACCGTTGTGACTGACACGAGCGCGGCCAGAAGCATCCGTTTCAATAGGTTCGCGTGCACCCTGTTCTTCCTGGCGCTTCTGCTTCCGCTTCCTGCCACTCGAACTGCAAGCGAGCAGACTACATAAGGGAAGAGCAGCAGGTGGACTACCGTTCCCCTCATTCCCCTCTTCCTGGTCTTCATTCGCCTTTATCTGCTTATCGCTCTCCTTTCCACTCTCTGCATTCCCCTGCGCCTTCACCACAGGGACTTCGCAGTTGCCTTGGTCCCCCGTCTCGTCCAGCTCAGCTGAGCGCGGTCGTTTTTTGGATGGCGTTTCGCCCTTCGGTTTCGGCTCAACAGCTTTTGCACACAAAGCAACTCCGTTGGTAACCAACGGCTTCAAACCATCGCCAACTTCGCCCTTTTCGCCACTGCCTTCGGCTGTTGTGAGATTGCAAGGAACAGTAGAGGGCTTAGACGTGTGCCCGCGATTGGCACTGGTAGATGCGGCAGGTCGACTTGCTGTTACTACACCTGATCCTGCCAAGGCTCCTGCCGTTGCTCTTGCCGTTGCTCTCGTCGTTGCTCTTGTCGTTGCTCTCGCCGTCGCGCCTACTGCTCCTGCTGCTTCTCTCTCTTCAGTCACCTCTACCAGCGGGACTTCCTTCACTGCAGGTTTTTTTCCCGCCGATTCCTTCCGCGTCGTTTCCTTTCCCGCCGTTTCCTTTTCCGCCGTTTCCTTCTCCGCCGTTTCCTTTCCTGGCGGTTCCTTCCCTGTCGACTCTTTCCCCAACGTTTCCTTCAATGCTGTTTCCTTCCCCGCTGTTTCTTTTCCCCCCATTTTCTCCCCCGACTTTTCCTTCCCCGCCGATTCCTTCCCCGCAACTACTGCGCGCGCTGCTCCTGCGTCACCTCCGCCAGCTCCATTGCTCCGCGCGCCGGCGTTTGTGTCATCAGCTGCAGTCGTTGCACACGCGGAAGCCGCACGTGTATTTTGAGTCGACTCAACGCGCACCGCTCCTGCGTCACCTCCGCCAGCGCCATCTCTCCGCGCACCGTCAGCGATGCCTCCACCCGCCGTTGCTCCACGCGCGGAAGCCGCACGCGTGGTGTCAGCGCTGGCGGCGGTCGCTTCGCGTGCGGCGGCCCACTTACCGAAGAAGTGCTTTATGCCGAAGTTCGAGACTGCGGGAGGGGCGCTTCCCTTTTTTGCGGAGGCCTTCTTGGGCCCCTGCAAGATTCACCGGTAGGAAGAAAAGCAACATTTGGAATATATGAGAAACGGACAATCGGAGAACCAGAGAACGAGTCGCCGATGCAGAGGCGGATGGACTTGGGTAATGGGTTGGGTTATATTCTGGTCATGCCGTAATTGGGTCGTTGAAAAACTGGGCGACGCGGGTCAGTGAGCCGCTAGAGATGATGCAGCTGAATCTGAGTGATTCCCAGATATCAGCGGCACCGTCAAACGGTGATGCCGCAACGAGAAACGTGGAAAGGTGTATGCTGAAATGGGATCTGAAACACAAGTGCAACTCGATCGGGCGCACTAGTGTAGCGTAACCAGATAGAAGGGGGTTTTAGCCTAGCCAGGAGCTGACTCTGTAGAGTAGCGTTCACCTTCCCGCGCATTGTTGCTGCGGACTGAGACGGCACCACCATACTATCGAGTTTCGCTGGGGCACTTGCAGGCAGGAGAACGGAAATTGAGAACGCTGTTGCCGCGAGAAGGAGAATGCTTTAAAGGAAACGGCTTTAGCCTTGTTCATGCAGAACAATTAGGATGTTTTGCCGCTTATGCTCAGCAGCAACGAATCGTCAGCGAGCTAAGCTCCGCCCGTCCATTCCGGGAAAATGAGCAGGAAAGCTGAAGTTTCGTACATGGCTGGCTAGTATTCTGTCGAAGTCGCTTTGGCCTAAACGCCGCCAGCAACTATGAACTCTCAATACCGAGAACCCAACAGCCCAAACCAGCTCTGAGAACTCCTACAGGGGTGATGGCATTGTTGTGCAACGATGAAACCACCCCAGGAGGCTGAGGCAGAAGGCCACGGAGATCTCGAGGCGCTGATCGTGGCGGAAGCGTCATTGTGGCTCTTCCGCAAGGCACAAGGGAGAGAAAGTCGCTGGCTACCCTACCCGATGTTTCTCACCGCTCTGGAACGCGAGAAAATGCGTGAAGCCGCATTCCAACGAACTTTGGGATGGCCGAGTGCCGCCAGTCTGGGTGCTGCTCTGTGCAGCCACCCATGCCATCAACTCCCGCCAATTCCGACCTGCTCCGCCTTGCTGCTATTGCACTCGAAGTTTGAAAAGTTCAAATCTCCAAGTCGCGGTAGGCCCCTGCCACGCTATTAGAACAAACGCTATTATTTACTGTACATATGGTCTTACCGGAATATTATTAACTCAACGTGCACACTCCAAAATGCATATATGTCACCACTTTCCGTTTTTAATTTCCATTTTTCTGATGGTATAACTGAAATATTTTAATTGGAGTCTAGTGAAGCAAAAAGAGGATGATATGCTCAACAAATGAAATTATCATATTTCTTTTGATGGTCTTATTTCTCCTGAATCTTTTGCCGAACTCAACCACAAGCAAGGATAACCTGTCCCCCGCGCGACACCACTTTCGCTTGTCCCCGCCGCGCGCCTGGACGATCCGCCTTGAGTCCTCCAGTTGCTGGGGGAAAACGAGCGGTATCAAGGTTCGATGCCTCAATCCGACGGACGGAAGCCTGTGTTACGTTTGGTTGGAGGAGAATCCATGAAACAGGGACAAGATCAAGGTAGCGTGTAGTTGTGATTGGTGAAGTGGCTGCTAGAAGGGAATTGGTTGGTCTGATAGGTTGTGGCAGGCAGTTGTTTCACCTGCGAGTAAACCGTGCTGGGTAACATCAGTAGGGAAGAAGTTTCAACTAGCTTTGGTTTGCCTCCTGTGACTGAAGTCTCCTCCTGAGTGCGGTTGGTCGCTTGCCTCCCACCCGCTCGCTCGGCCTTTCCCCAAGGAGCTCACCTGATGAAAGTTGTCGAAGTGACCTGCTGTTATCCTTACGCTTGACAGGGTGGAAGTCGTCGAAGCTGTGTCCTGGTGCCACTTCAGCCCTTGCACTTACGTATTCTCTTCGCTGTTAATTAATCAGTGGAGACGAAACCATGGCTGCCGTTTCACGCATAGCCTTTAGCGGATGCAGTCGCTTGCCGACCACAACCATTGGAATGAAGGGGGACATTCACGAGCTGCAGCAATCTAAGAACTATAATAATGTGTGTGCCTCTTCGCAGCTATAATTGCCCCTTACTCCATTTGCTCGGCTGTTTTGACAAAACCATTCCTTTCGCGCTCAGAGGCATAGAATTAATCCGCAAACCGGTCTTTGCTTTTCCAATTCTCAGTTGTGGTCTCCGTCGGTGCTCGACGGCGTTGTCCCAGAGCTATTCTCTCGCCCTTCGTTACCGACTTTTGTGCACGCAACTGCGAGGGTAGAAACGTTCTCACTGCTGTCATCTCTCCTTGTGGCTCCCCATGTGCAGCAGCTGCTTCCGTCTTCTGCGCGACGCACAGCCAGGGGTGGTAACTTCGGTCAACCAATTTGCGGGAGAACTTATCGAGGTTCGTTTCGGCTTGTGTTTATGGGCCTCATTTTCAAATTCCACTTGTTTTCCCGGATCTGTAGCAAGATCAGGACTCGAGATTCAGGCAGACAAGATTTCGGGTCAATTTCAGATTACCCTTTATAAGGTTGCCGATTCTGTCACAATACAACCTGCGTCTCTTGCCCAAACGCCGTCAAACCCATTCGCCTTATCTAACGTCACTCGATCTCTTGCGACATCGTCCTATCATGATCTCTACCTGCCGTTTTCTCTAAACGCCGACTGGTTCGGTATCGAGAACCACCATGTACTGAATGATTGCCTTCGCTGTTCTCAAATGCGACAATATTGCTGAATGCTTTGTCCGTTATTGTCCATACCCTCGCAGCCCTCTCCGTCGCCTCCGCTGCCTCAGGCTGGAACCGCGACGCTAACGAGCCCGCCGTTTGGTCAGGACCGCGCGGAGGTAAAAGCGGTAAGAACGGACGAGCGGCACGGCGAAGCGTCGCTGCCACAGCAGCTCCGCGAGACGGACGAGAAGGGGCGGCTCTGGGTGACGTGGACGGCAGGGCGTGGTTCGAGGATGACGTGGAGTTCGTGCTCCACCTGGCAAGCGACGAGGAGCTCCGCGAGCTGTGGGATATTCTCTACGGCCGCAGTCTTTTCAGCCCGGTGTTTAAATCCATCACTGCGGGAGACGGTTCCGCGTCCGCCGCGCAGCTGTTCAGCGCGGCGTTTGGGGAGAGCAGCGAGGGGCTGGAGAGGGAGGATCTTATCCAACGGCTGCAGGCCCGCTTCTTCTTCCTGTCCGCTGATGCGCGAGACACTGTGACGTGAGTGAGGGCGGGAATAGACGATACGAAAACGCCTGGCTCTGTTGAATCAACCCCCCCACCCCCCCCCCTTTGCCCCCTCAACCACCCCGTCTTTCCCTCCCTCCCAGTCACCACTTCCCGTCTCCCCTTCCCTCCGCCTCATCCCATTTTTTATGTACCACATGTGCTCCATTCTGAGGGTGGTCCCTCCTTCGTTGACTCCCTCACTGCCTGTCAATTGTCTGCTCTGTGGAAACCGCCTCTAGTTCCGACCATCCATGGTTCCCTGCAAGATCCTTTTCTTTTCCTCGCTGGGTGGGAACCGCCCCTTCCACAGAGTTTCCATCCCTTTTTTCGCGCATCAGAACCCTGTTCTCTTTCTCTCCCCCCCGCTCTGTGTCCCCTCTCACTCTTGTCTTTCCCTCTTGTCGTTGTCCTTCTGTTTTGGAATCTCAGTGGCAACCGCCCTTCGTACCGAGATGTGCTGCTGACAGTGCGGCAGCGGCTGGGAGTGAGGTGCAGTGCGGCGCTGTCCACGCCTGACTTGGAGAGCGAGATATTCCTGCATTTGCTCAACAACTATGCGGACACCATGGAAGAGTGAGTGGACTGAAGGATGGATGGGATTGGATGGGCACCATGATGAGAGGCAGTTGGCGTCAAGTAAGATAGGTAGGTCATAAGTCATTGTTTTTTTTTTAATGTATTAGCTGAAAACTGAATCAAATTGCCTCCAGTCTGTACATAGCTAATTTTGACTAGGCCACCTCTGGAAAAGTTAAGCAACCAAACTCCCCTTTTCGTCTTCTCTTGCCAAGATCCTTTCAGGGACATTGGCGGCACCAGCAGCAGCAGCTCGGGAAGCCCCTGGGCTGTAGCAGGAGAATGGGCCATGGGACAAGAGGGTAAAGCAGCAGGGGAGAGTAGAAAAAGTACGAAAGACAGCAACTGGGACTTGGGGTTTGGGAATGAGGAGGAGGAGGAGAGAGGGAAGGGAAGCGGGTTGGGGTCGTGGGCTGTGGGGACTCTGCGTAGCGGTGTGAGAGCTGCGATGCGCATGGGGCGAGATGAGATCCTTGCCACGTTTCTCAAGGGCGGATCGGCGTTAACACTCACAACTGTCAAGAAGCTGGTAGGCTTGTGTACATGCTGCTGATAGGCTCTGGTACTTAGCAGTCGTGCTATACTAGTCAAAGTAGGCTCTCTGCTCGTGTACGAAACTGGTTGGTTGGCTGGTGATTAGCATGGTTACGTGCTCCCTTTCATTCCTCTTTCCATGGCTTGCTGTGTCTTTGGTCATCTCTTTCAAACACTAAAGCCTCCTCGTTTCCCTTAGCAGTTGCCAAACCCTTCCACGGTTTTTTTATCTCTCTCCCCCCACTCTTCAACCCTCCCGTTCTCCTTGACCTCTTCGTCTCTCCGCCAGCTGCTATCGCGCATCACTGGGCGGGTACTGTACGAGCGAGCCAAGTACGAAGTCACACAGATGGCTCTTAAAAGGGTATGTACTCAACATGGCCCACCTAACCTGGACATCCCATCGTCTTTGCCACCTAACCCGGACTTTCCATTCGGAACTGCCTCTTTTTTCCTCGAACTAACCCGTTTCGCCCTTCTTTCTTGTTCCGTACTCTTGCTTGACTGGTGGTGTGGGCGAACAGGGTGGGCAGCTCGTGCTGTCCACGATTGAGTCCCGCCTGGCGTTCTACAGTGCGAAGCAGGTACGCGGATCGATTTACCTCACTACAATTGACTGACCACTGCTCCCACCTGCTCTTCTGAGACGTACCCATGTCTCTCTTCCCACCACCCGCCCCTGCTTTCCACGACGTTTGTGTTCTTTTCTCACGGTTGATTGTCTGTGAGGAGCTCACACCTCAAACACAACCACATGCATGGTTATTCCCCGTGCATGGTTTTCTGACCATGTGTAGGGCCTGGCAGCAGCAACGGCTCGGTATGTCAGCCTCAGAAGCGCCATGGCTCTCCTCGGGCCTCTGTAAGACCTCCTCCCTGCGTTTCCCTTTCCAACATCCCCCCTGCTTTGCTCTTCTTGAGCAGCCTGCCCTGTGTTATCTTGTGCTGAGACCTCTACAAGTTGTCGTCCCAGCTCTACCCTTCCCAACCTGCCTCGTGTCTTGCTCTTCTGGCTTTGTGCCAACCTCCCACCCACCACCTCCTTGCATCCACCCCGCGCCCTTCTTCCAAACGCCCTTCCCTCTCTGTGTCGTGACATTTCATACTTCTGGCTTCAATGCTTCAATTCTTCACGTTGCTGTTTCCTTCACCCTGCTGATTCCTTGTGAACCCTTTGTCTTCTTCTTTCCCTGCCAATGCAACACTTGTATCCACCAGGCTGTGGGGTGCATTCATAGCAGATGTGGTGGTGCAGTCACTAGGCACAGACTATGCTCGTGTGGTCAGAGCCATCTTCTCATTCGCACAGGTAGGGACCTGACCGCACCCCAACATCACCTCCTTATCTTCCCCGCCTAGCTTCCGTTCCCCTTACCCTCCCGCTCCTCTTCCCCTTTGTGACCCCGTTGTTTCTAATCACATTCCTGGCCTGACCCACCTATCCCTTCCCCTCCCTTTTCCCCGTGCCTCCTGTCCTCTTTTCCATCACTTATGTTATGCCTTCTCAATCGGATCGGACCATCATCTCTGTCCGCACTTGATCGACTTATACCTTTCTCTTGTTCCCTTCTGGCTCTGTATGTTAACCCCTGCTTCTCTATCACTGTGCTGCATGCCGCTTGAACAGATCCGCCTCACAAGGACGTACGGTTGGACTCAAGGTTCCAGTTCAAGCAGTGGCTCACTAGACACATAATGAATGAAGTGACTATCAGTCAAACAAACACCTGTTTTTAACTACTTGTATATATCTTGGACTTGGAAGGTTTGTCAAGCTGCATAACGTGGAGCTGCTGCACCAATATACTATATTCTATTATATTTCGTAGCTTAAGAATCTATCGATAAAATGTTTGTGTTGTAATTCAGTTTATTGGATGCAATCTTCTTGTCGAACCACTCTGTGTGAAGCTCAAACTTCAAAAGTTCGAAAATCGCGCGGCTTGGCTCCTCTGACAAAAACACGAACCCACACTGGCTGGTGCTGTTGAGGCGATAACTGTCCGCTCCGTAGTTAGGGGAAGCAGTCACGGCTAGCATTCACTGGGACGGGGACCTAGAAGATAATTCGCTGTTAGTCTCTTGGCCTTTCGGTCCGTCCGCTTGCGCCTCTCGGTCAGCCTGTCCTTTAGGAATCGGCGTCGCAAACTCGTTCACCCAGCTCTTGTTTGAAATCTTCGTGCGTATTGAGTTTCAGGACAACTCAATCGTTCCTATCCGTTAAGCGCTGCTGCTGCTGCTGCTGCTGCTGCTCTATGCGATGGTTGAGACTAAAGGCGCGACGAAGAGTGCGATTAAGGTGGAATCCAGGGCGGAGCGGAAAGGCGCCATGGATCGGTTCGTCGTGCGAGGCGGCGCGCCGCGGACTAGTATAGTCGACGGCGACGCGAAAGACCATCCGAAGAGCGTCAGCAAGACGGGAGCCATGGATCGGTTCGTCGTGCGAGGGAAGCTGCCGTTAGTAACCGGCGATGGCGATCGCGGCAGGAGGATTACTCGGCGAAGGCACGTACATCTTTCCCTTACTCTCGATTCCTGGCTCCCGCATTCGGACCAACACCACCTGAAACTGCTCTTCTCCACGCTGCGTCAGAATCCTCCTTATTATTCTCTCCCTTCTCCCTTCTCCCTTCTTCCCTTCGTTCTCCATGTCACACCTTCCTCGTCCATTTCCGATTCCCCTTACTTCTTTCCTTCTTCACTCCCCAGGCTAATCTCAACGCTAGAATGGCAGGTTACCGGGCGCCTTGCTCCCATTGCCAGGCTCGGCGCGCTACAGCATCTGCTACAGTCGTACACCCAAACTCTTACTCTGTGCCCAGACTTTCTAAAAACCCAGCAGGTGTGCTATTCATGCATGCATCAGCATGGGGTAATGTCTGTTCCTGAATGTGCGTAATTGGTTCCACGTGTGCTCGCGTCTGTTTCGTGAGATGCGGGGTACTCATTCCTTTCCACTCGCCTCTTGCGTTTGTTTGTGTCCAATGTGGCTGGTTCTCCACAGGTCGGTTTCCCTCTCCTTGCTGCCACCCCTGCTCCCAGGTGAATTTTGCTTCTCTTTCCTCTTCTCCTTCTCCATCTCCTTCCCCCTCTCCTTTTCCTTTTCCCCTTCTCCTTCTCCTTTCCCTTCCCGTTCCCCTTCTCTTTTTCCTTTTCCTTTTCCTTTGCCTTCGCCTTCTCCTTTGTCGCCTTCCCCTTGTCTCTTTCCTTTTCCATTTTTCCATTTCCTGTTTTTCTTCTTCCTAGCATGAACTGCCTCATATACTCCACCCATCCTTCTCCTTTTCCTTCCCTCCTGACCTCCCGCCCACCCTCTTGCCCCATTCCCCTCTCCACCCTCGCACTTTTCCCCCTCTTTCCACGCCTTCCTCTTCCCTGTGTCTCCCTCTCACCTCTCCTCCCTCTTCCCTCACCTTCTTCTCCCCGAAATCTCCTTATGCGTGCTTTCAGGCCGCACATCTCCTGCCTGGCATTCCACCCCTTGTCCTTCTCCGCCCCTCGCCTCGCTGCTGCTACCTCGACGGGCCTGCTCGCAGTCTACTCCTCCGCTGCACAGCACATCTCCTCTGTGCATGGTACGCTTTACGTGTGAGTGAGTCATGTGGCGCCTCGGAATTCGAATGTATCATGGTTGTGTTGTGTTGTGCCACCTTGTTATGTGGCACCGCTAGTGTTGGGATGTCTTTCCGGCTACTCCTCCGCTGCATCGCACATCTCCTCCACACACAGCACGCTCCATCTCCCATCTCCCATCTCCCATCTCCCATCTTTAATCTCCCATCTCCCATTCCCCACCTCCCATTCCCCACCTCCCATTCCCCACCTCCCATCTCCCTCCCCCATCTCTCTATTTTCCGCTTACCCGCAGACCTTTCTCCAGTGCTAGAATGCCGCGTGGGGCGGAATGCGGTGGAGGGGATGGCATGGGGGTCTCACAGAACGACAGGGCAGGTGAGAGGAGAGAAGGAGGAGGATGGGAGAAGGAGGATGGGAAAAGGAAGTGTGTGTCATGGCGATGGCTATAGTGTCTTTGGAGTAGGATGTCCGAGGCATTGCATGTCCAAGGTATAGCAATTTCGAGTTGCATTGGATGTCCGAGGCATAGCAATTTCAAGTTGCATCGCATGTCCGAGGCATAGCAATTTCGAGTTGCATCGCACGTGCTAAGCACGGCATGGCATGTGCACCCACATGCCATCTGACACGGCCTCCAGAGCTGCTTGGCATGTCAGCTGTATGTTCACTTCACGTGCACATCTCCCTCCGCGCGCGCACACACTCTCACACTCACGTGCTTTGTGTGCGCATGCGGGTTTTTGTCTGGAAGGTGTGTGTGTGTGTGCGTGTGCGTGTGTGCGCGTGCGTGCATGTGCGTGTGCGTGTGCGTGTGCGTGTGTGTGTGTGTGTGTGCGTGCGTGTGTGTGTGAGGAGGGGAGGGGGAGTGCGGGGGTCTCGTGAATGCATGCATGTCTGCGTGCATGCATATGTGCATGTGAGCAGATAGCATTAGCCGATTGCACTCCGTCTGTACACCTCTGCTCCTTCAAAGAAGCTTCACATCAGTTCTCTCGCCTTGTAAGACCACCTCTCACATGGTTTTAAAAGGCCATGTGAGACTATCGCCCTGTAAAACCATGGCATTTTTTTCCGCCGTTGCGTCGACCGTCTTTTCCCTCCTTTCTTCCTCCCCTCTCTCTACTCTTGCTGCTGTTTTGTCCACCTCCCCAACCCCCCACCGCGCATCTCTCTACCCCCTTACTCTCCACCGTAACATCTCCCTACCCACACCTCCCCACCGGCTCACCCCCCCATCCCCCCCACCAGTCCCTCCCACCGTCACGACTGCAGCTCCTATCATCTGTGTCAGCACCATCCTTCTCCGATGTGGCCTTTCTCCCCGCCTACTCCTCCTGGTGAGCCGATTTTTGAGTCGCCTCGAAACCCAGCACCCTTGTTTACTTCCAAGATTTTTCCCAATTTGCCAACCCATGATGCAAAATGATATTTTTTCAATGTGGCCTTTCTCCTCCCCCTAGTTCTCATGCAGGGCTCCATGGTCCCACCCATGTGATGCCATTTCCTGTGATCTCGCACCCGTGCGATCATGCACCCACACGCTATCACACAACCTTCCATCTGTAACCCTGCTCTTATCCCCCTACTCCCTTTCCCCCGCAGCAGTGTCACAGCATGCACGGCCTCCCAAGCAGCTCTGTGGGACATCAGGGCGTCTCTCGCTTCCTCAACCTGTCACGTGCCACTCATTCCCCTGCTCGCATTCCCCTGCGCTCATTCCGCTGCTTTGATTTCCCCTACTCCCCTTCCCCCCTGGCAGTGTCACAGCATGCACGGCGTCCCGAGCAGCTCTGTGGGACATCAGGGCGTCTCTCTCTTCCCCAGCCATGCTCTTCCGTCTCCCTGACGCCAGGCGAACTCCTGCCACCGCCATTCTCAAGTGCCTCGCACCTGACCCTGATGCTTCTGTAAGTGAATAAGTGAAGGGGCCATACAGACTCATGTGACCCTTATGCTTCTGTAAGGCCCCATTATTTGAAGCTCACATGAGTCTGTATGGCCCCTTCACTTCCCTGTTTTTTGTTCTGGAGCTGACTTAGAAGCAGCCCCATTATCCGAAGCACATATGCTTCTGTATGCACCTATAACTCCGCCGCAGTAGTCGAGTTTCGGGACATCCCACACTTTGAGTCGTTTCAGAAAATGGCTCAAAAGGCCTGTTTCTCTCCTCTGCCACCACCCCACCAACAAGTCGTCTATGGTGGCTGCTTTGCTCTGACGGTGCCATCTGTGCCTGGGACCTGCGCCAAGGCGCTTTAAGAGAGAATTGTTTTAAAGCGTCAAAATCCCTCTCCCTGTCCCTATCTTCTCGCTTTCCCCCACCAACAGGTTATCTATGGTGGCTGTGCTGATGGCGCCATCTGTGCGTGGGATCTGCGGCAAGGCACTGAACACCTCTTGTGAGACGCCGCACGAGTGGCGATCTCCGTGGGGTCTCAAAAGCCTCTCCCTCTTGCATCTCTGCCATCCCCCCACCAACAGGTCCTCTATGGTGGCTGTTCTGATGGCGCCATCTGTGCGTGGGACCTGCGGCAAGGCACTCAACACCTCTTCTGAGAGGCCTCAAAATTCGTGACGAGTTTCGTGGGGTCTCAAAATCCCTCCCCTTCTCGCTTTTCCCCACCAACAGGTCATCTATGGTGGCTGCACTGACGGTGCCATCTGTGCGTGGGACCTGCGCCAAGGCACCGGACACTCAGGAAACCACCATTCTTTCCCGCGATCAGCATCCTCCTCATTGCAACAGTCGCTTGCAGAACGAGAGACTTGTAAGGAAGGTGCATGGAACCACCATCAGCAGCACAGCAAGAGTTTGCCGTATCCTGCCGTTTCGTCTAAGGAACATGCGGCTGCAGCAGCAGCAGCAGCAGTAGCAGCTGCGCCAGAAGCAGCAATAGCAGGAGCAGCCAGCGAGGCGTCTCGTGAGTTGTCAAAGAAAGGTAACGCAGTATTAGGAGCGCAGGCGAGCAGCAGTAGTGGAAGAAGTGGCAAGGGGAATGCAGGACTGGTTATTGGCGGAAATGGTGGGGGGAGTGGTGTGAGAAGCACGGAAGGTGTAGGTGGTGCAGGGGAAGGAAGGAATGGGGTGACGGAAAAGGATGGTAGGAGGCTGGTGGAAGAGGGGTTGCTTGCAGAGGTTGAGAGGGATATTGATAGAGACATAGGAGTGGTACGCGGTGCTGATGGGTGTCGGGACAGGGCAAAGGTTGAAGTGAGAGAGCGGGGAGAAATAGCCGAAGGAAAGGGTATGGGTGCACGAGAACGAGTAGCAGAACGAGTTCAAGAAAAGGCAAGGGGAAGAGACTTTCAGCGAGCTATTCACGAGATCGGAGATGCAGCAGCAGAGTGTGCAAAGAGGGCTAAGAGTGACGCAAGGGAGCGTGCAAGTGAGTCTAACGGAATGGGGAGTGGCAGTGGAAACGTGAGGGAGGACCATGGCAACAGCAATGTTATGAGGAACGGCAGCAGCAGAGGTAGTGGGAATGACAGCACGGCTGGTGGCAGCACGGCTTGTGGCAGCATGGTTGGTGGCAGCTTGGTTGGTGGCAGCATGGTTGGTGGCAGCATGGCTGGTGGCAGAAGCAGCTTCTATAGCCAGAGACAGGGTAGGGAGAGCGCTCGAGAAGCTTTGGAAGGCATGAGAAAGAAGGCCAGAGGCACGGGGACAGGCATGGGGACACGCATGGACGAAGGTGGAAGTCTAGATATGACAAGCTTTCAAAGGGGATTCGACAAGGTGCAGAGCGGTTGTGCTGAGTTGGACCTGGTTAGAGGGACGTTTTTCCGATGCTTCGAGAGAAAATCTATGGGTTTTCACAGAAATCCATCTGTGGGAAAGGAGAGTAGTTCTGGGCCGTTCACTCCCAAAGATTTGCTGGGATCGCAGGGTTGGAGTGAATCCGTGTGGGGTTCCCCTAGGCATGTGAGCCACAAAGGTGGTGCTGGTGGTGGTGTTGGTGGTGATGTAAGCTGTGCAATTCAGGTTAAAGAAGCAGCCGCAGGGGCAGGAGCAGCAAGAGGAGCAACAGCAACAGGAACAGCATCTGTGCCAGCAGCAGTAGCACAAGTGCTAGAAACAGCTGGTTGTGAATTGACTGAAAGGGAAAGAAGCGGTTCAAGAGAAGGAGAAGCAAGGGCGGATGGAAGGCGTGTTGGCATGCAATGGCACGGCAGAGGTGCAACAACAAGGACACTGCAGCAACAGCAGCCTGCTGCTCCCTCGCTCTTTGGTACCTCCCCATCTCCATCTGCAACTGCAACTGCATCGTCTGCCTTCTGCTTTGGGCGAGAGGTGCGCTCTCTCCATTAAGTAACCAGAAACCCCATAGGGGCGAGATGCATCCAAACTGTCGCTCAGAATTGACTGTCTGCCTCACACTTCCTTCTGTCACTTTGCTCCCTCCTTCCGTTTCCTTCTCTTATTCTCCGTCCATGCCCCCATAACCCTCACCCCCTCATCTCTCCCTGTGTCCCCACAGCATGGAGCCCTCCCGTTCCACCTCTTCTCCACCTCACATCTCTTCGGTTCTGTGCCCTCGTTGCAGGTAAGCGAGTGTGGTTCGCTATTGATTGATTCGCTAGTGAGTGATTTGCTAGTGAATGAGTGGCTTGTACATGATTTCTTAATGAGTGGCTCGTGATACCCGCCTGCACCTCATGACTTAAACACCATGTTCAAATCAAATCAGAAGCCATCACCTCTTTTTCCAGAAGCAGCCATCTTACCCCTTATCCTCTTCAATATCCTCTTCCATATCCTCTGCCATGGCCTCTCACCACGAGCAGCAGCAAGCAGGCACAACGTCCTCTGCCGTGCAGCACTTGTCCTTTGACCCTGCATCTGCCTCCCGCCTCTCCTTCCATCTCAACAACGGTTGGTACGTGCCCTCTCTTCCCCTCTTTTCCTCCCTCCCTCCCTCTCTTCATCCCTCCCTTCCTTCCTCGCTTTCTCTCTTCCATCCAGCAACCGACTTGCTCCAAAGGTTCAATTCGTTCCGTTTCTACTTGCTTGCTCCACCACACCCACATGCACAACAAAACTACTTCGTTTTCTAATTGCTTGCTTCTCTCCTTCACATCCACCACCACGCTCCATGCTCTCTCTCCTTTTGAGGCGCCTCAAAAATTTCCGAGTTTTGAGGCGCCTCAAAAGTCGTCCCACATGCACAACAAAACCACGTTCACTCTCTCCTTCACATCCACCGCCACGCTCCATGCTCTCCCTCCTTCGTTCCCACGGGCTTCACTTTCACGCGCCTTCAGTAGAGTCCGTTTTGAAATTCCTCAAGAAGGAATTCCGCATTACACTGGCTTCACCACAAGTGGGCGCTAAAGAAACTCACCCCCACCCTACCTGCTCAATCTTGTGTACAGTGCTGCTATATGCGCCCTCTCTGTGCCTCACGTTCTCCCACATCCCCTCCCACCATGCCTCTCAATCCCACTCTCTCCTGTCCCATTGCCATCCCATGCCCCCCACTTATCTCAAAGTCCTGTCCCTTTTCCTGCCAATCCCCCGCACCCTCCCTATATTCCTGCAGGAGTGGAGTGTTGCATGTGCCCTCGCTCTCCCTCTCCCACATCCACTGCCCGCCTCCTCCCTGGGTGAACACACAGCCAGAAGCCGAGGAGGACGAGAGTCTATACGACCAGCAGCACCAGCAGCACCAACCGCACCAGCAGCAGCGCATGGCAGTGGCGCCACCGGTGGTGGATTCATGGACTTGGAGCCTTGCCAGCCGCCGGGTTCCCGCTTGGCTTCCGCAATCCGTGCGTCTTGGTTGATCCCATTAGCCTCTCAACCAGGCCTGTAGTCAACTCCTGATCTCTTGAGTTCTTTTCTTGCTCGCTTGCTCTTTAGCGCTCTTGCGTTCTTCCTATCTTGCTCTTTTCCTCTCTTCTTCCCACCTTGTCCCTCCTTCCCTGCTTCCCATCAGGTACTGTGTGTACCCTCAGCCAGGGATTCTCACCTCTTCTTCCTTGATCTAGGCTTGGGTTCACCTCATGCCACCCCAACCTCGACTGAATCTAATAACGGGTGAGGCACCACCGTTTGTTGATGTCCTGATTCTTTCCCCCCCCCCCCGCTGCTATCTTGCTCCCAGCCTTTGTGCAAGCCTCATTTGTGGGTAAACAATTTCCCTAGTGTGATTGTTTGAATCAACTCTCTAGTTAACATGTATTTTTTTTGCCCACTTTTGTTGATGTCAGGATGGCAATTCTAAAGGCTAGAGAAAGCAACCGAATAACAAGATCACCGTATGTTGGTGCTGTCACTTCTCCGGTCGTTGCAGTGGCAGCAGCTCCCAATGGCCTCGACGTCATTGCGAGCACGATAGTGAGTGCATGTAGTTAGGTGGTCTTTGATTTTGCATAACGGTTAGTCACCCTGAATGATAACCTCGAGTTTTTCTTCTACTTTGCCTGCAGGATGGGGCAATGGTGGTGGTTTCCCCGTTTTTGCCAACATAACTAGTATGTAATGTCCTTGTTCCAATATAAGCTTGCTTTGATTAGTCTGACCTTTATCTATGTTCCGTTTTATAGTCTATGTGCCATACCCGGTACATGTTGAATGCTGTCCGCCTCGCTCATTGAATTGATCAGTAATGAAGGGCTTCTGTTGGAAGAACATATTCTCCGCCAATCGCAGCGACCACTTTATTTTATGGCTCCTCAATTAGCGGATGAGCCATTCCAAGGGTGCAAATTGATCTGAGCTGGAAAGACAATGGTGCCTTTCTGTGGTCTACATGCGGCGAATAATTTTTTGTTGTGGGCAGATAATTTTTCAAGATTACCCCTCACTACTTCTTCAATCCCTAAAACTCGCCTCTAATTGGTAGTCGCAAAACCAGCATCGAGGGGTTGCTTTTCGGCACGTGGCGCTTATTCGCAATTTCCACCGTCCATCGGGATCTCTCTCTTCGCATTCGTCGCTTGTTTCAGCCATCTGTGCTCTACGACTGGTCGAAGCCTTGAACGACAGTTCTTGAGATCTGCCACCACCAATCAGAAACATTTCAGGCTGCAGCGAGATCCAGAAAGTGTAGTTGCAAAAGGAAATAATTTGTTTTTGCCAGAAAATGCACACTAAATATCTCGCATCGCATTTTGCCAATTCCCTATGTGGTTTTCCCTGGAACCGCTGGTTCCTCCTGGCCCATCAGAGCAGGGTTACCACGGCTAGGGCCCAAGCTCCCCTCTACCCGCAACTCCCTCTTCAATCTCCTCCCCCCCACTACAAGCTTTGTTCAGAGTTGGTTCAACTCGGCATTGCCACCCCCTGTTGAAACGACCAGATCAGATCTGTTTGTAACAAATCACCCTGCTTAGCGTCCAGCCAGCACAAGTAGAAGCTTAAACCTGCTTCACATAGTCGTTGACAGATAACGCACCGATGGCGCCGATATCGACGGCGATTGTGCCGGCACAGGCAAAAGCTCTCTCCTTCCCGCTGGCCAGCACCGCGAGAACAGCCGCGTCGGCCGCGCGGCCTGTTGTGTGCGTATCCCCCGGCGGTTCTCGACGCAGACAAGCTAACCTCAGCTCACGTAAGTCGACAAACCCTCTCCTCGGCGGATCTAAAACCCCGACCTCTGCTCACAGATCTGCATCGCCTTCAGACTCTTTTCGACCACAAGCAGCTACTGGCGGGATTGACGGAACGGGCAATGGCGGCAGCACCGGCGGCGGCGGCGGTGGAGGCGGCGGCGGCGGCGGAAGCGGCGACAGCAGCAGCAGCAGCGGAGGGGGCTTCGGGCTTAACCCTTTCGCGGCTTTCCTTAGAGGATGGAACGATCGCATCGCGGCCGATCCGGGGTTCGCGTTCAAGGTCCTCGCGGAGATGGTCATCGGCGTGACGGCGTGCGTTATCGGCGACATGGCGGCGCGCCCTAACTTCGGCATGAACGAGCTCGACTTTGTCTTCTCCACGCTCGTCGTTGGATCCATTCTTAACTTTACGCTCATGTACCTCCTCGCTCCCACCTCCGCCGCCGGCGCCGCCGCCACTACCCTGCCCGGAATCTTCGCGTCGAGCCCGACAGGTCACATGTTCGAGCCCGGGAAATACTCCGTGATTCAGCGCGCTGGCACGTTCGCGTATAAGGGTATTCAATTCGGTGTGGTCGGCTTCGTCGCCGGGCTGTTCGGAACCGCGATCTCCAACGGTCTCCTCGCGGTGCGCAAGAAGCTCGATCCGAACTTCGTCGTGATGAACGAAGCGCCTCCGACGATCCTCAACGCCGCCACGTGGGCTCTGCACCTGGGGCTGAGCAGCAACCTGCGGTATCAGAGCCTGAACGGGATCGAGATGGCGCTCGGCGCGCGGCTGCCGCCCGGCGTGTTCAAGGCGGTCGTTTTCGCGCTCCGAGGGCTCAACAACATCATCGGCGGCGTGTCGTTCGTCACGCTGGCGAAGCTGACCGGATCGCAGAAATCGGGCACCGCCGCCGCCGCCGCCGCCGGGGACGCTGTTGCGGAAAAGAAGACGTCGTAGATGCGCGACGGTATGCAGCGTGTGGATCTAGCGAGTGTGAGGAAGAAGGGAGGGAGGGAGGATGGATAAGGAAGGAGGGAGCATGGTGTGAGGAGGAAAGAGCGATAAGGTAAGAAAAACTAGCCGGTTTTCTTCATGATCGGTCGATTTCTTGCGCGAGATGTGAGGAGAAGGAGGAGGAGGAGGAGGTTAAGTCAGACGCGCACAGTGGAGCGATTGGGGCAGTGTTATATGGTAGGTTTTGGAACTCGGGGTTTATGCCACTTAGAATGTTACTGCAGGCGGAGTCGATGCGGTTCAGGCCATAGATATTGCTTGGATTTCCAGTCCGGGTTTTAGCAGGGTTTAGGATTGCCTACGTGTGCGACGAAGGGAGCGCAATCCCCTTGATTTCTTGTAGCTGTTGATTTGCACTCTTGGAAGCATGGGTTTTGCTTTTTTTTTTCCCCTCCTTTTTCTTGGCAAGAGTTAATGAACCAATTCTGCTACTAAGTGTGTGAACGAACACCGAGTGTGGCAAAAAAAACGCGCAACTAGTCTGTTCCTGGTACTCTCCTCCCAACCCTCTTCCCCCCCTCTTTTCCACACCCCCCTCCGCCCTAATCCTCCCTCATCTTCTTTCGCCTATCCCCTACATTGTTCTTCATTCTTCCCCATCCCCCCCTTCTCTCCGTTTCTCTCGCGTTCCTCTCTCACACATGCACTCGCCCAGGCATACGCTCCTCCACTTCCCCCTCCACTTCCCCCTGTACTTCCCCCTATACTTCCCCCTACACTCTCCCCCCTCGTTCCCCTTTGCCATGACCCCAATTCCATCATCCTCGTTCACGTCTCCCTTTTCCCCCTTCCCTACACCCTACTCTTACACCCCGTGTCATTCAAGTCACTTTCTGTGTTCCATCCGCCCTCCTGCTGCAACCTAAGCCATTGCCGGCCGCCCACTGTGCCAGCCGTCCCCTAATCCAGCCGTCCAATGATCCAGCCGTCCACTATGCCAGCCGCCCACTATGCCAACCGCCTGCTATGCCAACACCCCTCTGTTCCTGTCAACTCTAAATCCATCCCACCCCTATTCCAGCTGCCGTGTGTTACCATGTCTGCTCTGCCACCTACCTGTCTGGTTGCGCCACGTTTCCACTCTTGTCACGTTTCCACTCGGCCCTCGCCTCTGGTTCACTCTCCTCTCCTCTCTCATCCCTCACCTCCCATCCCGTCCCCTCCCCTCCCCTCCTCTCCCTCCCGTCTCTTCTCCTTCACTTCCCCCCTCGCATCTCCTCCCCTCTCCTCTCCTCTCTTAGCCTCTCTTCTCTATGCTTCTCCCCTCATTACAACCTCAGACACCCAGACCCAGATGACCTGTTACATCCTTTCATTCCCCTCCTGTGAAGCCTGTCTCCACTGCTAGTTCCACTCCTCTCCCTGACACAACCACTAGCACTCCACTCCACCAACCCCCCTCCCTCACACTTTCTGTCAGAATGAGGAATGGATGATGCATTGATGTTGGTTGGGGTACATATAGCTAACCCTAAGTTTTGTACCCCCTAAGACAAACCTCACTATAGGCTACAACATTTGACACACCCCCATAGCCTAAGTGAGGGGTGTCTAGCAGAACCAAACGAGTACGGTCACAAGACCAGTCCAAGAAACGAAGCTCAGGGTGGATCACAACGTCACCACACAGTCTGAGCACAAACAACAGTGGCCACAAGGCCAGTCCAAGAAGTAACAGAGGTATATAGAAAGCAAAGTAAACAGTACACTCAAGCCTAAGCAACACGAGAACCAGTGTCAACAAGGCCTAACTGCACACAGCACCTCTGGTGGTCACAAGGCGGAAGCGCCTTGGTGAAGATGTCTGCAGTGTTGGCCTCGGACTCCACAAACTCAAAGCGAGCCTGTCCACGCCTCTGCAACTCTCGCAGAAGAAAGTACCTGACGTGAATGTGCTTCACTCTGCTCTCCAGTCGTGGCTCTCGACAAAGGAGAATAGACGCCTTGTTGTCAGTGAACAAGGTCGGTGCAGAGCTCGGCCGCTCACCAAGGTCGGTGAGCAAGAAGGTCAACCAACGCAGCTCCTGTGCCGCCATGGCACCAGCGTAGATCTCAGCCTCAGCTGTAGAGGTCGAGACCGAAGAGGAGCGCGTGGACCGCCAGGAAACAGCTCCAGAACCCAGGCTGAAACAGTACCCCTGAGTAGACCTGTGAGTCTCAGCGTCGTCAGCGTAAGAGGAGTCACAGTGACCAGTAAGTACGACAGACTGCTGCCCTCCAAGAACTAGCCCCACGCCTGACGTCGTCGCTAGGTACTTCGCCACCCTCACAGCTGCTGTCCAGTGAACAGGACGGTGTCTCCCTGGCGCAACAAAGCGCGCAAGAACGCTGAGAGGGAAGGCGAGGTCCGGGCGAGTACAAGTCATCAGGTACATGAGGCAACCCACAAGCTCTGCGTAGGGACCACTAGGCTCGAACGGCTCGTCAGGAAAGGGTCCAGTGAGTCTGTGGTCAACAGCAAGAGGTGTGCGCTGTACTGTGGAGTGCTGAAGCCCGAACCGCTGAAGGACCTGCTGCACCATGTGCGACTGTGAAAGTGTAATGGTGCGAGCAGCTCTGTCCCTGGTGATCTGCAGGCCAAGGTAGTGGCGCAGCTCACCAAGATCAGTGCAGGTGTGTCTCTTCTGCAGTTCGGACTTCACGTGTGCCAAAGCAACCCTGTCAGGGGTGGCGAAAACAAGGTCGTCAACGTAGACCAGAACAAAGAAAGGTGTGGGGCCACGACGAACGAACAGCGACGGGTCAGCAGAAGACGGCTGGAACCCAAGGTCAGACAGGGTAGAACGCAGGGTGTCGTGCCACTCACGAGGAGCCTGACGAAGACCGTAAACCGGTCGCCTCAGCCTCCACTGGGTCCCAGGAGGGAAAGAGCCAGTGAAGGCAGAGGGACGACGCAACCAGACCTCCTCGTGAAGACTGCCCTGAAGGAAAGCAGTAGAGAAGTCGAGAGAGTGTAACTCGTAGTCTCTCTGTGCTGCTACGTGTAGTAACACCCGAAGAGTGGTCATCTTCGGGGTGGGCGCGAAGGTCTGAAAGAAGTCAACTCCCTCGCGCTGACTGAAACCTCTAGCCACGTAGCGCGCCTTGAAGACCGGAGGAGATCCCGGTGGCCGCTTCACCCTGTAGATCCACATGCCGTCGACTACGTTCGCCCCCGGAGGGGGAACCTCATCGACGTAGGTGCCTGTGGATCTGTAGGAGGCCATCTCTGCGTCCATGGCAGCTCTCCACTGAGAGGCCCAAGGCCCTGACACTGCCTCAGCGTAAGTGCGAGGAGTCGGAATGTCAAGGGCGTCGGGGTCACCCTCAGGGGCGAGGAGCATGGCACAGAGATGAGGGGAAGCGGCCGCCAGGAACTCTAGCTCAAACTGCCTGTCCTCTAGGGCGTCACAGCCAAGGGCAGACACACCCCCGACGGCCAGAGGACTGGAAGGAGGAGCAGCCACAAGAGCGGTGGCGAAGTCAAGGCGGCGGGTAGAGGCAAACTCAGTGACTGCGGCAGTAAGAGCGGACACAGAGGACACAGAGGCACGAGGGTGGGTAACAAGAGAGGCGAGAACACGAGAGAGAACAGGACGGTACGTGCGGTAGTAGTCAGTGACAGGAGAAGGAAGCGACACAGTGAGGGCCGACTCAGGAGGAGACGGAAGCACAGACGGAGACGGACGAGGTGGACGAGAACAAAGGAAGGCTGTACGAAGGTCAGTGAAGGGAACAGGAGACGAGGGACGAGCACGAGGGGAGCGACGAGAGGTGAGAGGGAGGGTGGTAAAAGGTGAAGTCAGAGGAGTCCTCAGGGAAACCAAGGAAGACACAAGGAACGGCGCGAGGCGAGAGCTTGTCCGCGGAGGTGTCGCGGACAAGAGCCAAGCACCCCCAGACACGAAACCTCGACGCGACACCAGGGGACCCTGTCCAAAGACTGGTCGGTGAAGCCTCCGGCCGAGAGACGCGTGGCCAGAGGTTCAGCTGGTGCGCGGCGTACCTGACTGCGTATGGCCACAGGAAATGGGGGGCACGGGCGTGAGTCAAGGAGGTGCGGGCAATCTCCATGACCAGGCCTATGCGACGCTCAGCAACCCCATTCTGCTGTGGGGACTCCGGAAGCGTCCAGGACTGACGAATGCCCTGTTCGCGACAGAATCCAGCGAGAATGCCGGAGCGAAACTCGCCCCCGCGGTCGGAGTGGAGACAGCTGACACGACGACCACGAGTGTCCTGGGTGGTAAGCAACCACCTGATCAGCGTAGAAGTCACCTCAGACTTCCTCGCCAGGGGGAACACTGTGGTATAGCGGGAGTAGTCGTCAACGACCACCAAAAAGAAACGCTCACGCTCAGGGCCAGGGCAAGGAGAGGGGCCCCAGACGTCCAAGTGCAGCGTCTCAAAAGGCTCGGTGGCCGGACGAAGGGAGGAGGAGTGAGGGGTGGCACGCAGCCTACCCTCGACGCAAGGACCGCACGGTGGTGCAAGGGACGGCGGCAGCGACGGCAAGACACGCGGGAGACCTAAGACCAGACGCTGACTAGACATAGCACGCAGACGTGGAAGAGAAGGGTGTCCCATCCGGTGGTGCCACAGAACGGTGGGGTGGGCAAGCGACCGACAGGAGCAAGACGCAGCGACTGGACTGGACGCGACAACCTGAGGGGACGGAACCACCTGGTGAGACGCAGGGAGGAGACTAGGGGGAGGGACAGGAACTGGGAGGAGTGGCTGCTGCGACGGCGGCCGCTGTGGCTGCGGCTGCTGCTGCTGCCGCTGCTGAGGCTGCTGCTGCTGCTGCTGCAGTCGCTGCTGAGCGCGCGGGCCAGTGTGAAGAGTGTAGAGACCGGAGCCCGGCTCAGCAGCAAAAGTGGCGAGAGGCTGGTAAGAGTCCCCGTCAACACACACCGCAGTCTCTCCAGAAGGCTCAAACCACACACCCACGTGCTGACTCACAA